GTGGTCGCTGTTGTCACCCTGCTGATGACGTCAGCAACGCGGTTTAATCGGGCGCGCTTTAGTGGAGCGCGGTTTTGTCGTGCCACATCTTTTACTAGAAAACTAGATAAACCTTGATTCCTGGTGTCAGCATCCATGCTGTTTTCGTGATACTTCCCCCTGCCTTTTTCTGATTTTTTAAAAAAACTTCCCAGTCTAGCCAAGAGCACCAGGATTTTTTAGGGGATTCTCATTAAAGTATTAATCAGGCCCAATCCTGATTAGCATCTGGGATTAATAAAGGTTAGCTATGTACCAATCATTTTATAGCAAGCACACTAATGACTTTGCACAACTGGTGCAAACTATATAATTTATGTTGTTGTGTCATGATGTTGCAATGCACACCTGATATCACTGGGTTTTTTTACCGTAAGGCAATCAGTCTAACCAGAAGGCAGTTTATATTAAACTTCTGGAGACAATCTCCCAGATTATTTGGTTTGTGGCAGGATGTAATGAATGTATAAAATTATTAAAGTGGTGCCTTTCAGCTATTGTGCATAATCCTTAACCCAAGACTGCTAATTGCACAGATAAGAGAAAGTGGGAAGGCAAAGATGCCGCTAAAACAGGTAGTCCTCAAATTATGACCACAATTGGTCCCAAAATTTATATTGCTAAGTGAAACATTTGTTAAGTGAGCTTGCCCCACTTTACGACTTTTCTTGCCACAGTTGTTAAGTGAATTATTGCATTTGTTAAGTTAGTATAAGTATAATCTTCATTGTCATTGTACTTAAATTGTACTTAAATACGACGAAATTAGTAACAGGGTTATTAAGTGAATCTGGATTCCCCATGGACATTGCTTCTCAGAACGTCAAAAAGGTGATCACATGATCCCGAGACCCTGCAACTCTCATAAATATGAACCCCTTGCCAAGCAACTGAATTGTGATCAAGGGCCCATGGGGATGCTCAACTGTTGGGTGGAAAACAGTCATAAATCAGTTTTAATACCACTTTATAATGCCTTGGTGAGGTCTTGGAATACAGCATTCAGTTTTGGTCACCATGATGTAAAAAAGATGTGAGACTCTAGAAAGAGTGCAGAGAAGAGCAACAAAGATAACTGGAGGCTAAAATACATGAAGAACGGTTGCTGGGTATGTCTAGTTTAATGAAAATAAGGACTAGGGGAGACGTGATAGCAGTCTTCCAATATCTCAGGGGCTGCCCCAAAGAAAAGTGGGTCAAGCTATTCTCCAAAGCACCCGAGGGTAGAACAAGAAACAATAGGTGGAAACTAACCAAGGAGAAAAACAACTGAGAACTGAGGAGAAATTTCCTGACAGTTGGAACAATTAATCAGTGGAACAGAAGTTGCCTCCAGAAGTTCTGAATGCCCCAACACTGGAAGTCTT